TCTACTGGCGGCGTCCTTACCCTCAGGGGTCCCGGCGTACCTTCTACAGCCGGCGTCCTTACCCTCAGGGGTCCCGTATTTCATTCTCTTTATATTGATGGCTCACTGAAGGCAAACTGTTTATTTCCATTTGGATAGAGTAAGAGAGGGGTATAACCCTTGTCAGCCCCCCCCATTGGGGGCTACTCCCGGGGCATCACCACAATTAGTGTCCCCATTGGGAGATTTCTATTCTGGTCTCTGGGGGATTTTTGTGTTTTCTTTCAGTGAGAAGAAGACAGTAGAACTAGAGAGGGTTTAATCCCTCTCCATTCTAGCCAAAATGGCGAAAAAATCAGTTTTGCCTATAGGGCTTTATTTGAGTTTTATGAAAGTTAGCAAATGCTGTATTTATTTGTTTTTTACGGGGGCCCAGAAGAACCCCAACTCAGTAATTTGCCCGTTCAGTGGTATCCCTCAGCCCTGCTTATTTCCCCCCCCCCCCCCCCCCCTCCAACCGCTCGGTGTTGGCCGCCCCCCCCTCCCCCCCCCCTCTCTGCTGGTCGGTCCACCGCTCGGCGTTGGCCTCCACCCCCCCCCCCCCCCCCCTCTTCCTGGCTCTGCTGGTCGGTCCACCGCTCGGCGTTGGGGGGGCCCCCCCCCCTCCCCCCCGGCTCTGCTGGTCGGTCCACCGCTCGGCGTTGGCCGCCGCCCCCCTCCCCGGCTCTGCTGGTCGGTCCTCCTCCGCTTGGCGTTGGCCGCCCCCCCCCCCCCGGCTCTGCTGGTCCTCAGCTCACTGATGCCCCAGTGCTGTTAGTGAGCGTCATAGACCTCTATGCAGGCTTTGGGGATGCTTTGAAGCACTAACAAAGCTACATGGGTTATCATTTTTTAAATCAAACACAACAGTGTGAACAGGACTGTAAGCTTTCCATTTTATATATTGAGAGGTGCTTTGCCATTCAGAGTGCTTTGAAGAAAAAAAAAAAGTGTGTTTTAATGCCACATTTTGAAGAAAGTGTAAACCAGGCCTAAGTTACATTAATAGGTTAGGGCCCATTCATATCTAGGAAGGCCATTGTGGTACATTAACACAAAAGCTTGTTTGAATGGACCATCAACACTCAAAGTAATTTATTGTTGTGCTGCACTGCAGTGCATGTGATTTAAAGGTGCTTTGCCTCAGGATCCTTTTAAAGTGGTAGTAAACTCTCATTATTAAATAGTACCTACAGGTAAGCCGATAATAAAGCTTATCTGTAGGTAGTGATTATCTCTGAAATGTTCACGGTTTAGGAGATATTCACATCAATAGCGGCCAATTACATTTCTGCACATTCGGAGCACTGTGTCACAGCAATGACTCCCGTATGCATATATGGGAGTGATGTTTTTTATGGCCTGGCCATTCAAAAGGCAGAGATTGGGAACCTGAAAGATTAAAATTATTTAACATGGGACTTTAAGCCCTTGTTCACACTGATGCGGTGTGGAATTTGCAGTGGTTTCTGTGCAAATTCCGCAACAGAATCGCACACCGTTCATGCGAACCGCTGCGAGTGTGTATGGTAACAACACCCCCGAAAGCGATCTGCAAAAACACGTTGCCATGTGCAGAATCGGATCACATGGGTGTGAATACCCATGCGATCAGATTCTAGTGCAGACCAAAAAAAGGGTCCTGCACGTTTTTAGTGCGATTAGAGCCATACAAGATGTATGGCTGCAATTGCACCACACACAAATTTTGCCTTTAATTTGTACAGGAATGTGGTGCGGTTCCTGTGCAAATCACATGTGCTATACCGCACCGCATATGTGTGAACCCGGGCTAAAAGCACTTTTACAATAAAAATCATGAAGTTTATTAAACATCAAAACTGTTTTTTTTCATTTAACCACTTGCCTACTGGGCACTTATACCCCCTTCCTACCCAGGCCAATTTTCAGCTTTCAGCGCTGTCACACTTTGAATGACGCAGTCATGCAACACTGTACCCATGTGAAACTTTTATCATTATATTTTTTTTTTTTTTTTTTTTTTTGAGACAGAGCTTTCTTTTGGTGGTATTTAATCACCTCTGGGTTTTTTATATTTTTGCCACTGAATTTTGAAAAAAAACTTTTTTTCTTTGTTATAAAATTTTGTATATTGATTTTTCTCCTTCACTGATGTGTGCTAATGAGGCTGCACTGATGGACACTGATAGGTGGCACTGATGAGGAGGCACTAGTAGGTGGCACTGATGGGCATTGACAGGCATCACTGATGGTCACTGAAAGGCAGCACTCATATATGACACTGATAGGTGGCACTGATGGGCACTGACTGGCATTGATAGGTGGCACTGATAGGTGACACCGAAAGGCAGCTCAGATGGGCATTGATATGTGGCATTGATGTGCACTGGTAGGCACTGATATGTAGCACTGATGGGCACTGGCAGGTGGCACTGCTGGGGCTACACCGATCATCAGGGCACACTGATCATCAGTGATCAGTGCCCTGATGATCCGTGTACATGTCGCCTCCGAGGAATGCCGATTTCCTGGCTCTCCTATCCTCTCGCGCTGTCAGCGTGACAGCTCGTGAGGAGAGAAATGCTGATAACTGGCATTTCCCTATTTACATGCGATCAGCTGTGATTGGACACAGCTGATCACATGACTGAGCCAACATCTTTGGCTCTTTCCGTTGATCGGTGATCCCATGTGTCCCTTGGACACAGTGCACCACCGATCGCTGCACGGTTAGAATGGGAGGATGTCATATGACCTCCTCCCAGAACGAGAGAACCGTTTTGCGCCCGTCATTACCTTATATGGCAGGTGGGAGGCGGTTAAAGACGGCTTACTTTCATATTGGATAAAAAAAATCTTGCCCGTATGAGAGATTTCTTTGATCAACAGGGTCCCAGTTACAGTAAATGTTTACAGTTCAACATTCAGTTATTTCTTTCCGCAAACTCAGCGCATTTTCTGGAATCCATTCCATTTCATCAGGAGCTTAGTAGCGGAGTATATAAATATTTTTCAAATTATTATTTATTAGTTACTTCTTCTGCAGCGCCATCAATTTACGCAGCACTTTACATGTATATTGTACATTCAAATCAGTCCCTGACCCTCAAGGGCTGTACAATAAAAGGTACGTAGAATTATAACATTCATAACTGCACATCTATATATGTATACACTGACAATAGGCTTCTACAGTTACCTGATTGGACATCACCAAGGGAAGAGTAAACCAGCATGCTAACAGAAAGTAAAACCATGGGGAAATTCCATCCAAGGGAACAACACCCAGGAAAAACCCCTCACAGGTGACATACATTGTAGATGACTCAAAATACCATCACCTGTGAGGGGTTTTTCCTGGGTGTTGTTCCCTTGGATGGAATTTCCCCATGGTTTTACTTTCTGTTAGCATGCTGGTTTAGTCTTCCCTTGGTGATGTCCAATCAGGTAATTGTAGAAGCCTATTGTCAGTGTGTGTATGTGTGTGTGTGTATGTATATATATATATATATATATATATATATATATATATATATATATATATATATATATGTATATATATATATATATATATATATATATATGTATATTATATATATATATATATAGATGTGCAGTTATGAATGTTATAATTCTACGTACCTTTTTGTATTTGGAAAAATATTTATATACTTTATTAAGTTCCAGATGAAGTGGATAGATTCCAGAAAACGCGTAGAGCTTGTGGAAAGAAATAACTGAATGTTGAATCATACTTATATTTACTGTAAGTGGGCCCCCTTTGATTAAAGAAATCTATTTCTCATGTGAGCAAGATTTTTTTTTTTTTTTATCTTACATGAAATAAGTAGGCTGGGTTTAACCCTTTCACGGTCAGGTCCATACGGCATACGGACTGGACAATGGGGGGGGAGAGTGTGTATGGGGCTTATATAAAACTTGGTGGCTGCAGCCTCCGGGATCAGGTGGGATCAGCAGTCGGGCAGCTGCACTGGCACCTGAATGCTTCTGCACACCCGCTGTACCAGCACCCCCTGTACAGGGGGCAAAAGAAATAATTAACACCCATGCATAAAATCCCCCCCCCCCCCCCCCCACCAATAAAAAAAAAAAAAAAAAAAAAAAAAAAAAAATTGATGCCCCCACATAAACATGTCGGGTGAAAACGCCAATTGCGATACACACATTATCGCTGCGCAGAGTGAGAGCAATAATTCTAGCACCAGATCTCCAGAACGCTAAACTAAACTGTTGACCTTCGGGGGGCTTTTGAAGCGTTGCTTATAAAATATGGGGTATTGAAATTTGTCGCTATTTCATGGCTGCACACAAATTTAAGGTTTGACGTGTTGGGTATCTGTTTACTTGGTGCGACCTATTTTTTTTTTTTTTTTTTAGATTTTACCAAAAATATGGGTAATTTATTGTGATTGCCCTAAAATTCACTTTGGTGTGTTTTTTACTGAAATTTTGTGTTTCCTAGACCTTTGCGGAAACATCATGTGACAATAAATTGGAACTACCATTATTTTATTCTCAAGGTCAGGGGTATCAAACTGGCGGACCTCCAGCTGTTGCAAAACTACAAGTCCCATCATGCCACTGCCTTTTGGAAGTCATGCTTGTAACTGTCAATCTTGAAATGCCTCATGGGACTTAGTTTGTCAACAGCTGGAGGGCCACCAGTTTGACACCCATGCTTTAGGTTGTCTGAAGTCTTCTCCCCTTCTGTATTTGTCTTCAGGCAGCAGCTGTAGTGGGTTGGCCTGCTGAGTCCCTCCCCTGCTCTGCTCAGGCTATGTACAATACAGTGATGTCACTGTTACTTTTACAAGGTAATATCTGGGCTTGCTAAGGCTTTTGTGAACACAAAGTGGATTTATATCTGTGGCTACTGAGGAATGAATTTAAATGACTTTTTGTGAATGGAGTTTTTGCTTTAAATCCTTTTTGTTTTTTTTCCTCTGATAGCTGCTATTCTAGACTACTGTAACCAATAAATGTTTTTTGTTGCAGCCAATTTCCCTGAACATGTTGTGGACAATCTTCCCGCCGACTTAACTACTGGAATATACTATGGGTGGGGCTGTGTTGGTGATGGGGAGGTTCACAAAATGGTGATGAGTATTGGCTGGAATCCTTTCTACAAGAACACCAAAAAATCTGTGGTAAGACCTGTTTTCTCAACTTCATCCTATAAAATTCTCATTCATTTTAAAGAGAATCTGTGCAGTGCTCCTGTCTCAGAAGCGTCTGTTAGAAGTTGACATTCTAATTCACAGACAAAATTTCAAACCGCTGGCTGTAACGTTACCCAAAAAAATAAATTTGTTTTTTTTCCCTTGGCAAACATGAATTTTATCCTGTAAACTTTAAAAAGTAGGTTTTGGATCTATTCAAATGCAGGGATGGACATACTAGTGTAGAACATGGTAGGCAGTTCAATTCTGTTTACAAATATGTTTACGTATGCTCATTTACATTTCCCAGGTCCTAACAGTTTGTGTTGGCAAAATCCAACAGTATTTAGCATAGCTTTCCATTACATGCACACAGTATTTCCCCATGTTATGTCACTGCAAGTAATGACCCTTCCAGACATTTTGTGAGCTTCTAAAGTATTGTAGTGAGTTAACACTGCTGCACTGATATCACAAGAAGTTTTACTAGCTCGGCTTTCTTTCTTTTCCCCTTTCCTTTTCTTTTCTTTCCCTACTGTTTCTCCCCCTCTCATGCTATTCCAGTGCAGTGTTGTCTGTCAGGAAGAGTAATCGGGTATTTTTCAGTACTTTCTGCATAAAAAAAAAAAGATATATATTCATGGGTAAATGCTTCTGTATTGAAGTTTCGAGTGTCCCATTGTAGACAGGTAGGTTAAAAGTTCTTGCCTCCAGTGCAGGCTTTTTTGTCTGTATTGTCTAAAAGCAACATACCCCCTTTCTCCAACTTTAAGAGGATTCACATTTGCAGGGAATGTGACATAAACGTCCAGATTTGTAAAGTGTCTGTGTGAGAAAGGAGTGAAACTGAAATGAGTTTGCTATATAGAATATGTATACTTTTTTATATCGGGGGTCTCAATTTTTCGGAATGAGGCCTGCACTGTATATTTTACAAATATTCAGGGGCTAAAAACGAATGAATACGTTTTTTGTAATCTGCATGATATTCAAAACAGGTTAAGAACATCAGTAAAACAAAGAAAACAAATTACCAAAATAAAAGTAAGCCCATCCAAGTCCCCCCCCTTACATCAGATTCCCTTTCATTGAGGGTCCCCCTTATATTAGAGTCCTCCCTAATGTCAGGGTCTCCACCAAAGTCCACCTGTACTTCACAAACTTACAGCTTGGCTGGGAGCCTGATGACCTGTTTGAGAGGCCACTGACCCTAGCTGTGAGCCGGGTAAAATATTTCGCAGTTGTCTGCATTTGGCCAGCGGGCCATGGTTCAGATAGCCCTTATTTCTTTCCTGACAGATTTCCCATAAGGTGTGTGTGTGTGTGTGTGATTTTGGATAGAGTAAGGGAGGGTTACAGCCCCAATAAGGTTTCTTTTTGCCATCTGTGTCCCGTCACTTCCTGTCTCATAGTCAAAACAGTTAACAGAAAATCCCTACGAAATGTGAGACTCCTTTGTCACCAGAGCTTGTCCCCATTGGCAGATATCCCCACTGTTCTTGTTATGGGGACAACCCAAAATTTTCAAAATGGTGCAGACAGCAATGAAAACCTGACAGGTGTTCTAATCCCCACCCACTATCAAACTTTAAAAACAGTTTTGCCTTTTAGGTATACTTTAAAATGGCATTGAACCCAAAACTAGAAAATATAATATTGCAGCTTACCAATCAGATGTGGCTCCATTGGGGTTTGTTTTGGCTTTTTTTGCTCCATTTGTAACCTGGTGATCTGGTCATTAACACACCTCCTGTATTGGAGTGCCTACACACTGGATGAAGGAGCAACATGTTCCTGCTCCTGCTCCTGTTCCCCGATCTTCTCCCCGCACCCGCTGTCAAAGAACGAGGCTGTGCTGGTCTCCTCCCACTTGGCTGCATCATTCATTCACAGAATTCTGTGAATGAATGAACTATAATTACCAACAGACTTTGCAGCTGACAACTTGTAGTTCTCAATGAACTGCCAGGGTTTTTTTTTTTTTTTTTGTAACCTCAAAGTGCATTTTATTTTTATTTGTTTTTAGGTGAACTTATCCTTTTTAAATACTCTAATAAATTGAAACCAAACTCACGCTAACGCATTCTAAGCAGTTCCAGCAACAATTTGTGTTTTTTTTGTTTTGTTTTTTTTTTTATTTATTTTTTTTTCTTTTTGGGTTAAAGATTTTACATAAAACTTGATTATTGTAAGCACCCGTCAGTGGTAAATGGTTTGTCTTGGCTCTCTAACTGCCACATTTGTAGATCTGCTTGTTCTGTAGAAAAACAGACTTTTTGGTGGGATTACCAAGTGACAATTGAGCCCAAAAATTAAGCTTATGCAGCTATCTCATCTAAGAATTTTGTAAGCTGCAATAAATATTTGCTTTGGGTTCAATACTGCTTTATTACACGTACAGTGGATATAAAAAGTCTACACACCCCTGTTAAAATGTCAGGTTTCTGTGATGTAAAAAAAATGAGACCGAAATTATTTTAAAATTTTTTCCAGCTTTTTAATGTAACCTATAAACTGTACAACTCGGTTTAACAACCAACTGAAATCTTTTAGGTGGAGGGAAGTAAAAATAAAAAACTAAAATAATATGGTTGCAGAAGTGTGCACACCCTTAAACTTATACTTTTGTTGAAGCGCCTTTTTGATTTTATTCCAGCACTCAGTCTTTTTGGTTATGAGTCTATCAGCATGGCACATCTTGACGTTGCAATATTTGCACTCTTCCTTGCAAAAACACTCCAAATCTGTTCGATTGCGAGGGCATCTCCTGTGCACAGCCCTCTTCAGATCACCCCACAGATTTTCAGTCCGATCCAGGTCTGGGCTCTGGTTGGGCCATTCCAAAACTTTCATCTTCTGGTGAAGCCATTCCTTTGTTGATTTGGTTGTATGCTTTAAGTCGTTGTCATGCTGAAAGATGAAGTTCCTCTTCATGTTCAGTTTTCTAGCAGAAGGCTGAAGGTTTTGTGCCAATATTGACTGGTACTTGGAACCATTCATAATTCCCTATACCTTTTGAATAAGACCCCAGTTCCAGCTGAAGAAAAACAGCCCCAAAGCATGATGCTGCCACCACTATGCTTCACAGTGGGTATGGTATTCTTTTGGTGACGCGCCAAACATATGTCTTTTGGAATTATAGCCATAAAGTTCAACCTTAGTTTCATCAAACCATAACACATTTCTCCACAGTCTTTTTTTGGAATACTTCAGATATTTTTGCAAAATTTAGCTGGGCTTGGATATTTTCTTCATAAGAAAAGGCTTCCATCTTGCCACTCTACCTCATAGCCCAGACATATGAAGAATACAGGAGATTGTCACATGTACCACACAGCCAGTACTTGCCAGATATTCCTGTAGCTCCCCTCCCAGATTAGATTTATCTTTTCATCAATTTTGGAGGGACGTCCTGTAACTGTTGCGCCATATTTTCTCCACTTGATGACTGTCTTCACTATGTTCCGTGGTATATCTAATGCCTTGGAAATTCTTTTGTACCCTTCTCCTGACTGATACCTTTTAACAATGAGACCCTCTGATGTTTTGGAAGCTCTCTGTGGACCATGGCTTTTGCTGTAGGATGCGACTAAGAAAATGTCAGGAAAGACCTAGAACAGCTGAACTTTATTTGAGGCTAATCAGAGGCACTTTAAATGATGTACTGACTCCTATTCAACATGATTTTGAATGTGATTGCTTAATTCTGAACACCGCTACAGTTATAAGAGGATGTGCACACTTATGCAGCCACATTATTTTAGTTTTTTATGTTTACGTCCTCCCTCCCCTAAAAGATTTCAGTTTTATTTTTCAATTAAGTTGTTTAGTTTATAGGTCACATTAAAGGTGGAAAGTTCTGAAATGATTTCTTTGTCTCATTTTTTTGCATCACAGAAACCTGGCATTTTAACAGGACTGTGCAGACTTTTTTATATCCACTGTATTAATCCCATTTACTAGATCACCTGAAGTAATTTTCATTGTACGTTTTTGGTTTATTTCAGGAAACCCATATAATTCATCGGTTTGAGGAGGACTTTTACGGTGAAATACTTAGTATAGTTATCGTGGGCTACATCAGGCCAGAAAAAAGTTTTGATTCATTAGGTGAGTATCTGGGCGGTACAGGCACAAAAGTGGTGTCTCCCTGGAAAAGAAATAAGCTCCCTTAATCCATAAGCCTCTCTGCATGCCATTTTTTTGGGGATATGTCAAACACGTAGTATTGGCACACTGCTGTGCTGCCCATCACTGCCTGGAAGAAAGGGGTGTCATCAGAGGGCAGAGAGGACAGTTACCTGGCAAAGGACTCCCTTTCTAACCATCACTGTCAACATCCACAATTACAAGCGCATGCAACATAACCAGATCCAAGCCTCCGCCACCCTAAGTTGTTCATTATTTGACTTTGCACCAAGGAAATGGCTAAGTGGTTCATATTTGGCAGCAAATCCTGTAAAATTCAGAAAAGGGGAAAGGGTTGCTTTTCAAGCTGTAACCTATTGTCCACCTTGCCAAAGCAGCACAAAGGGAACAGGTTTGTGTAGCAGATTAGACTTGACATGTAGCGCATTGCCTACTAAGTGGTACATGTGTGTTTAGATATAGACATGTAGTCTCTCATCCACCTTCACAAAGTTGTGCAGTAGGTTAGAGGGTAGATGTGTTTTTGCTCACCTTACCAAAAACACACTGGAGATTGTTTACTAAAGCTGGAGAGTGTAAAATCTGGTGCAGTTGTGCATAGAGTCCAATCAGCTTCCAGGTTTCATTGCCAAAACTTAATTGAACAGTCTGAAATTAGAAGCTGATTAGCTACAATGCACATCCTGCACCAGATCTGCGTGCAGCAGTTTAGTAAATCTCCCCCACTGAGAACTAATTGTGCAGTAGGATAGATGCAAAACTAGTCTGTTGACCACCACACCAATACAGTGAAGTAGGTTAGACATGTAGGCTATTGTCCACCTTACCAAAGAAGCACATTAAGAACAGCCATAGACACTTACCTTACAGTATGGCTTAGTGATTAGCATTTATGCCATGTAGCACTAGTGTCCTCTGATCAAGTCCTGGCCAGGACCCTGTCTGCATGAAGTTTGCATGTTCTCCCTATGCTTGTGTGGATTTCCTCCCACATGTCAAAGACATATTGATAGGTTGATTGGCTGCTGTCTAAATTGGCCTAGGTATGTATGTATGCAAAATAGGGACTTTAGATTGTATGCATTTTGAGGACATTAACGAACGTGAATGTACAATATGTAAAGCGCTGCATAAATCGGCAGTAGTATACATCTGTGTTCTTCTACCAGGGCATTGTCTAGTTGGATTGTGCAGGCACTTTTTTGCTAAGGCTCTTTTAAATAAAAATGCATAAACCTTTTGTAAATAGAAGATACCATAAAGCTTATCTCTACATTGTACATAAACACATGTTCCAAAAGGAATTAAGAATCTTTGCTCAAAAAAATTAAAAAAAATCCTTAAGTCAGCCTCTTTTTCAATATTGCATAATCATTTTGACCAAAACATGTTTTTATCAACAGACGCCCTTATTGCTGCAATTCACAGTGATATCGAAGAAGCCAAAAATCAGCTGGACCTGCCAGAATTCCGAAAGCTGAAAGACAAATACTTCAACAACTCTCTTAAAATAATGAATGGGCATTGATGCTGGCCACTCATTTAGTCGATTAATTGCACAGCATTGCACTGTTATTAGTTTTTGGTCAAGTTAGCTTTAGACCAACTCTCTCATGAAGGCTTGTTATAAATTTATTGTTTAAAATATATCTACAACAGGTCTAAATGTGATAAAACGGTCATCTTTGGTAAAGCACCTTTTTTTTGTCCTCCTTTGGTTTTTTTTGTTTTTTTTTTTATGGTTATATTTAAAAAAAAAAAAATCTAAGACCAGTGGGGCAGACTGCTAGATTGAACACAGCATATGGACTACATTGTTGAAGTGTAATTTACATTTGTTATGTTACCCAGTGATTCTACAGTTGTAGAACTATTGCATATTTGAGGATTTGTTTTGTAAAATGTTACAAAAACACAGGAGCACACTAAATCTCTTTTAATGTGGATGTATAGTAAAAAAATGTAGCTAAAGTGTTTACCATACATTATTTTGGCTCAATGCAGCTACTTATGTAAGTTATTTATTGCTGTTTTATCGGTGTAAACATCTTCTTACCTATAACTACTTCATAAACCACAACCCATATACCCAGTGCACTACTCTACTGCTAATATTTGTTGCTTCTTGGTTTATAATAAAACAAATATCAAACTAAGTGCTTGCTAGTAAAGTATCACTTTTTACTTTGTTGAGGGAACTCTGAACCCTGAATATGAATCCAGGGCTTGTTTATGCAATGTTTTTTTGTAATTAAGTAGTAAAAAGGGCATTTGGTATATCTGTGACAACATTAATATTATCCAGTTGGCACTCCATTCTTCTACAATGGCCTGGGAACACCACAACCTGGAGCATGCTAATAAGCAAATGTGATATCCTCTACCCCACCAACTGAATTTCACTATTGGGTCATAACCGTGATGGTTGTGCTGGCTGACCTATGATGAGGAAAAAATGGTTGGGCAGTGCTTCTTGACAACAGAAGCTGGTTGAGAGTTGCATCTTGGAACACTTGTGAAGGTTCCTGCTGTGACGCACAAGGGCAGTTTAGTAATATTAACATGACCACAGGTTTGTTTGTGTGAAAGGGGGAGGAGTTATTTTGTGGTGGTGGTGTGGTTTCCCCCCCCCCCCTCCCCAAAAGCCAAACTGGTAAAAAGTTTGCCAAATCTGACTGAATAGTATATAGTGCCTTTACAAATGGTTCTAAGGATTGTATGTAAGAAACTTGCTTAGGATTGGTTTAATATCTAGAATGCATTAAAAATGTAGAGACTAAGTATGAAATGTTTATTAATTTTTTATAGACTTTGTGTACAGTTGAAAGTGTTAACTATTTAAAATGCATCTAGATTTTTTTTTTTTTTTTTTACATTCCAGTAGGTTTATTCAGTAGATGGTTTTCTTTCTATCCCAGAGTTGCAACAGGAAGTTAGAGAACGTTTTCCACAGTGAGGAGACTTGCCCTTTTTAGATAGGAAATCTTCCTATGGAGACAACTTTCTCTTTTGAGGAGAGCTCTAAAACATTCTCAGTGACAGTGATCAATAAGTCAAACCTTTTTAAAGATGCAGTTTTCATTTAAATAGCTGGTGGTTTTTGACTGTAATGTCCTTGTTCTAACACTGCCAGTTATAGGGTGACAACTGTCTCCTGTTTTTGTTCCTGTGTCACATACAGGCAGTTCCTAAGTTAAACATGCAACTTATACTTAAGCACAGAGGCAGTGTGATGTCACACTGGTCCTGGAAACCACTGGGTGGCCATCTTGCCACACTGCTACCTACTGCCTGGCGGACCATCAGCGATCCCACATCACTGCATGTTCCAACTTGCATACAAAATCAACTTAAGAACAAAATTACAGACTATCTGGTTCATAACCAAGGGACTGCCTTTACTCTACTGGTAGAACTACAATTAGCCATGCTGCCACACATTGGCACACAAGGCACTGTTGTCACTACTATGAAGCAATGATTTGCAGATGACATTGAGGTGAGTGCAGTTAGACAGGAAGTGGCTGCAAGAGGCAAGGGATTAACAACACTTCTATTAAAAAAAAAAAAAAAGGCTTTTTTTTTGGGGGGGGGGGGGGGGGGGAGGAGTTTGAGTTAAAAAAAAAAAAAAATGTCAGTTTGATACACAGTGCTTTAGCAAATTAAAAGTCAAGCAGTTAGGTTTTAAATTTTACACAAAAAAAAAATCTGTACAGGAAAACATGGAGACTGCCAAACTTGCAGATCAGGAAAAGTCAGAACTCCTAACACACTTATTCCTTGGCTGGCATGTAGATTTACTGGTTTCAGTACGTTCATTGATTTGGAATAAGTATTTCATAAATCGTCGTGTCCGCTCTATATTTCCTCATTGTTGGTTTACTTTAAAACAAAATATATTGACATATTGTAAGTTCAAACACAAATCTAAAATCAAGGGATTTAATCTAGATTTTATATTGGTGGCTACCATGGGGATCATTTTTATTTAGCACCTGCAGCCAATTGTGTATCCATTCCAGTCTGGTGCAACTGTTCATCCTTATAGGCAATCATGGTGTTTGTTTTTTATGAAAGTACTCTATGTGCAGTTGCCCACAATGATTTGCAAGGCTCTCACCAGTGTGTGGCTCATTAAAGGAATTTGACACATTAAGGGATACGTTTGTTACATTGGAAGTTAGTTGGGACTGTATTGTACATGTGCCTGCCACCACAATTAATAGTAGTTATGCTGAGCAGAGTGAGTGGTCCTTTTCAGCTCTAAATGTTTTATTATTCTTCCTTATGCATAGTTAGAATGCTCAGGATATCATGAATCGTGTGTTTTCAGACTAACACGCCAGTCTCATCAAGCCCGACTTTGAAATTGTGCGACTTACATTGAAGTCGCACGATTTCAAAGTCAGTTGAGATGCCAATTTCATGTGCGATTTGCAAGACATCTGACATAGATGTCTATGCAAATCCCACCAAAAGTAGTGCATGTACTACTTTAGAAATCGGTGTGGCTCTGACCAAGTCAGAACTGCACTGATTTGACCGCTGTAATTGCAGACTTTAGGGTTCGACTTGGCATACAATATTTGCAAGTCGCATGGCATGCAGAACGCATGCCAAGTCGCACCCAATGTGACCGGGGTGTTATGGCCACTTATCTGCAATTTCATCAAAGCTGTTTAATTACCTTAATCTTTAAAGTAACCCTACTTATGGGAAAGTGATGGTAATAATAAAAAAAATGTTCTTGCACTTCCATTCCCACAGAGAACTATAAACATCCTCTTTTCTTTGTTAGCTGTAGTCATGGCCTTTGTTACTTTCAGTCCTCTTCTGTGCTGCTGTTTGTTTTACAGATGTCATATTTGGCACTGAGTGTGAGCAAAAAGTGCAGAATGACTATAAAAATTGTCTGTTATGTGGGACCAGGGGCAGACTGACAACTCATGGGGCCCCCGGGCAATAGGGGATCATGAGGCCCCTGTGTCCTTGCCCAAACTCAAAAAAGCCTGTGAAAAAGGTACCAGGGGCATCTCATGGGGCCCCCCTACTGACCCAGGGCCCTCGGGCAGTGCCCAAGTTTCCAAATGATCAGTCCACCCCTGTGTGGGACCATGGATTAACAAGTTTTCATTGTTAATGCTTTCAACCTATACTTGTAAAATTTGTAATGACTGATGTCTATAGGGATGACCTCTGTCTAAAGCTAAGCATTTTCTTTACTCTGGAGATGATGGAGGCTGTTTGTGAAATACTACAATGTGAAGATCCAGGTGTTGTATGTAGTTCCCTTCCATACCGCTACTGCCTGTCTTGGTATCAGAGGACCTCCAATGAGTAAGAGGGTTCAAAAGCAGAACTAAATCCTACTATCCTTCACAGCCAAGGAAGGTGCCATCTTATTCTCTGTTTAGATCTGATGTTATGGTGCCAAGGTGATACGTTGACAATATAGCCCTTTTAAGGGCTTCAAAAAGGTTGGCTGAGAGATGACCTAAGCACCCTAGTAACCATGACAGCTATCGCCAGAGGCATACCTTGAATGTAGCTGTTTTGGAAAACTTAAATTGGTGGGTTTAGTTCTGCTTGAATTCCAGAAAGGCAGGAGTGTATACGAAAGGGTGCAGGTCTGCAGAAGACCAGGAAATGCACATCACAAGCAAATGTGCTTTTACACACAAGCTCTGTGCGTCATCCTCCACTAAAAATAATTTGGTGGAGATTGCTTTTAAGTGGTTCTTTTTTTCATATCACATTAAGTAATATGTTTTAAACAGGTCTTATGTGCATTTAGTAAACTGGATATTGTCAAAACAGCACTAAAGGAAAATGTTCTAGTTCCAGTAAACCAGATGATTGTGATTACCATTAAATTACTATTTTAATAAAATTATAGTTTCTCTTTATTTTTTACATGCCTCCTCTATACATTTTAATAAGCATGTCTTCCATTGCTCTTTTTTTCAAAAGTTGCTAATTCTCTGTATAAAAGATTTATAGGCTGGTTCCTCATGTTTACTCACAGTGGTAGCAAAGACTTGGCTCACATGGGTGGCAAAACCATGGTAAAAACAGGCAGGTGATCTACATTTTTATCACCCACTAACAAGTTAACATTGCCAGCTAACATGTCTGTACTCATTGCTGTGGCACATCCAATTTTGTACACCATACTACTTTTGGAAGTTGGTTCCACTGTCAAAAGCACTTAATGCAAGTTAATAGGACAGCACCACAACTGCATTGTGTTTGTGGTCGAGCTGGATTTTCCTCCTCAAAAAAAGAGGTATCCAGGAGAATGCATATCACCTCTGAGCCCCCTGTCAACCAGCTTTGAAAAGCAATCTACCAGCCAGCCATTTGAATGAGTCCTAAAGTAATATTTTACAGTTTGTGACTAGTATAAAAGGTGTCTGTGGCAATCACAGCAAAATATCAGATTTTACATTTATACTGTCAATACATCCATCTATATTTTTTGTTTCCTTTATCTCTTTCCTATTTATGTCCTTTTTTTTTTATTTGCTG